GCATTTGTTTGTGTAGAGGTTTTTCTCTGCCTTGGCGTCTCTACCAACGGTACGTTTTGTAGTCTTATATTTGTTTTCTTCTCCGATATTCGCTCTCGTCAATTAACCTTAGATCTGTTTATTTATCTCTACTTTGTAATGTAGATTTTGCATTGGGTGTGAGACACATAGTATAGAAGTTGAAACTGTTGTGTGCTTATCTACTTTGTGATGGATCTAGTCGTTGAAATTTGCATTTGAAATAGTTAAGCGTTATAAAAAGGGTTTTCTAGGGTTTGGTGAAGTGATGGATAGAATCAGTGGTCTACCTGATGAGCTTATTTGCCACGCCTTGTCTTTCCTCTCGACAAAGGAGGCTGCTTCAACTTCTCTTCTTTCAAAGAGATGGCGAAATCTGTTTGCCTTCTCACCAAATCTTCGTTTCGAACACGAAGACAGAGATGAAGACGAAGACAGAGATGAAGAAGAAGAAGACTCTGAAGTAGTGATTTGGGGGAGATTCAGTGGTTTCGTGAATAGGGTAATGGCTGTGTCAGGCAGAAACGCAGTAAAGCAATTCTCTCTGAAATATCCACATGAGGTTGTATCAACTCGAATCAACATCTGGATAGATGATCTTCTGAGCCGCGGTGGCTTAGAACATCTTGAACTGGAGATTGCTAACGGTGTGACGTCACTACCTTTAACGCTCTTCGCTTGCAAGACACTTGTTACGCTGAAACTTGGAAAATGGGTCGATATTTGTATGGTTCCTGAGAGTCCTTCTCTTCCAGCTCTCAAGACCCTGTTTCTTGATCGTGTCAGATTCTTAAATGATGGTGCTCGTCAGTTTGAAGCCCTAATTTCTGCTTGCCGTGTGCTTGAGGACTTACTGATACGTGGTGACCGTTTGGAACATTGGAGCTGGTGTCGCATTGTGTCATGTACGACCCTTGTGAGACTTACCATTCACTTTCGTCAAAGGTATAGTATAGATCCTGAAGTTGCGGCTGGGTCTGGTTTCAGGAGCATTACTTTCGATACTCCGAGCCTTGCCTTTTTAGACTACGCTGGTTATGTTCTGGATGAGTATCCAATTGTTAATCTGGACTCACTTGTTGAAGCTAAGCTTCATCTTTGTTTGAGGACGAGGCATCCCCACAAAAGCAATCCAACGAATCTGATTAAGGCGTTAGGAAGTGTTGAGATCCTTGACTTATCGTCTTTTTCAACCTCAGAGGTAAACTATGCTATGTTCTTTTCTTCTTCCTCTCTAGTATATTATTGCAAGTTGGGAACATAAATATCCTGAAGAAGATTTATTTTATTAATTTCGTTTCCAGGTTTTTGCTTCCTTTTGTGAAGCAATCCCATCGTTTGAAAGCCTTCACTCTCTATCTATTGCAATTGACTCTGGTTATTGGAAATATCTAGACTTGCTGCTTACGAAAGCTCCAAATCTGGAGACACTTATCATCATGGTACGTATGACTGAAACCTCGAAAGTTTAATGGGGAAATTTGCAAAAACCAGTAGATATACAATATACAATAACTCATCTTGTTTCAGGGTCCTTGGTTCAATTCTTGTGTAAATGGTCTTTACGAAAGCTTGCCTGAATATCCTTTTCTCTTCTCATGTCCTGTGAAAGTCTTGAAGATATTCCGGTCTTTCTGGGGAAATGCAGCAAGTTTTGCGCAAATAAGACAGCTCATGGAGAATTTGCAATGTCTTGAGGTGATCGAACTCTATATCCCGGCAAGGACAAGCGATGATTATGCAATGTTTGGTGAAATCATCATGGATCTTGAAACGCATCCCACATCTTGCAATTCCTTATTCCAGTTTTTTGATCGCTTCCCAAAGCTTGAAAGATCCAGCTCAAGTTATTTTTCCCGCGAAATGGAGAAGTGGATCAAGTGTTACCAAGGTCCCCTTTGATTGGTAACATGAGTTACCATTGATTTTATTTGCATTAATAGCCTAATTCAAAAATGTCACTATTCATGAGTTATTTTTACTTTTTTTTACATTAAACTTTGAGTTACAATGTATTATAATTGTATTATAAATTTGACTTAACTCTTTGTAAAATAACTAACTTAACTTAAATTCTTAAATCATCAGAATTTTGATGAATTAGAGTTTGACTTACCTTTTTCTTGTTAGAACTAACTTTTTTTTTTCTTTTTTATTAATTCAGTAGAAATAATTTTATATATACATCAAATGTACATAATTTCAAAAAAAAAAATGGTATTTTTACCATTAAAAAAAATAGGGGTGGGCACTTCGGTTTTTAGTTTGGTTTCGGTTCGGTTTCTTCGGTTTTATGGTTTATCGATTTTACGAAAAATTCAAACCATATTAAAGCCATATATATTTTGGTTAAGTATGGTTATGTTTTTTACGATTCGATTTGATATGGTTTAGTTTCGGTTTTTTGGAATTATACTATTACAAAAGTTTTTGATTCAAACTAATGGAAATAATAATAATAGATATGAGTGAAATAAAACAATAAATCTAAAAGATAGAATCTAAATCATAAAAAATTCATCAATAAAGACAGATTTCAAAACAGAGAAACAAACAAATTATCAATTCTTTCATAATCAATAATTATAGAACAATAAACAAATCTAGATTAAAATTTAATACCTATAACTTTGGACCTAGAACTAGAAGACTTGAATATGAAGAAAAAAGAGTTAATCATGTTTTTCTTTATTGAAAAATTAAGGTTTACTTTATTATTTATATGTAGATATTTTTAATAAATATTATATTTTAAATTTATGAGTTAAGTTAGTAAATTATAAAGATAACTAAGCCCAATAATAAAATATATACCTAAACTAAATTAAGAAACTAGGTAAATATAAATTACTTAAAATTTAGTTTAAAAACCGAAAACTTTTTGGTTTGACGGTTTTTAACCAAATCAAACATAAACCAAAGCTATAAAAAAATGATAGCCAAATGGATTTTTAGGTTTAACCATAACCAAATCATATCACTTTTTTCGGTTCAGTATGGTTTGGTTTTTTCGGTTATGGTTTTTATGTCCACCCGTAAAAAAAACTCAATTATTCTATTTTGTTATTGTAATACTTTTTCATAATAACATTTGATTATTTATTATATATATATATATATATTTATAAAAATATTTTTTGGAATGTATGTCATTCAATTTATTTCAACATTATGCTATATATATAATGTTAACTATTCTTAAATTAGTATTAATTCATTTAATATATTTTATAATTAAATTTATAATAAATATTATTACTTATCATTTAAATTTATATCATTTTTAATAATGTATAATACAATTTCTACTGCAAAAATGTTACCAATCAAGGTTTTTATAAAAATACTAACTCATATTTATACAGAAAATTCACCACATAAATCTACAGTTTTTACCACAAAATTTTACTACAAACTACATTGAATTATAACATCAAGTATCAACTGTAAATCAACTTTAAAATTACATGTCACTAATCGAAGCCTTAGTTAAAAAAAAACCTTCGACATTTTAGAAGATGATGCACCTGCACTTTGGAGAGATGTAATACAAACATTTCTGAATAATTTTTCTTAATCCACCTGCACTTTTGTTTTTAAGAAAGTAATTATTCAGGAGACATTTGTTTTTAAAAAAGTAATTAATTATTCACAGAATTTGAAATCGTGGACGTTATTCAGACATATCTCTCTCCTTTTCTTTCTCTTTTCTTTTTCGAAACCCTAATTTGGGAGCAAATTATGCATATTCCTTTCTTTAGAAACTGAAAGGGGTGGAATTGTTCATGGATTCCGAGTTTCGGCATGAATTTATCAATTTTCTCTGTGTGACTTCTTGTTATTTCTTATTAGAACACTGTTTTGTGTGCTTTTGTTATTATATTAGAGTTTGTAAAGGTTTATGTTCGTTTTTCCATTTGTGTTTTGTGAATAAATATATATATTTTAATAAAATAAATAAAACTAAATTAAATATTTTAAATAAATTAAATTATTAATTAAATTAATTTTTGAATACTCTCTGATCTTTTCCGATTTTTTAATAATTCACTGAGTGTGGACCGAGTGTCCAATTAACTAATAGTGAATTCTCGAACAGAGTACATAGAAGTAACAAGTAAACTCTTTCGTTTTGTGGAAAAGCCTCTTTACTCTTCTTATTTTCCACCTTAATTCCTTTTATTATATTCTAATCAACGAAAAAAATTCAGTTTTTCACCTAACGCCTGCTAATTATATGTAGATTTACAAATATTAATCGACAACAACATTTTTGCTGACCTTGAGTTTGACTGATATATCAACTTAATAATAGGATAGTATAATAACTAAATAATAAACTAATAAAATTAATATGACGAGTAAACTGAGAACTAAATAAACTCAAAATATTAAAAAATTAATGTATTTTAGATGAACGTATTTTTCTTTAAACTGCTTATAAATTTAAAACATACAAAATGATTTAAGAAAATAACATGTAAATTTTTATTTTTTATCATTCAGTACTTAATATTGTGAATTATATGTATTTGGTTAAATCATGTTCAAACATGAACACGTAAAAAAGCAAGATACCATTTAACTCTCTTGTTTTTTTCAGAAAAATGATGTAGTTGACGACGACGTTAAACAAATATTTCACTCACGTCGAATCAATAGTATATATAATTGGCAAAAGAAAAAAAAAAATCTGGATTATTACAACTTGATTTATTTTACACCAAATTGAGAAAATCCAACAGACAAGGAAGGCATTATATGAATTATTTGAGTCGCAGATACACAAGTTGAATCATTCCCATTTGCTTCTTTTTGTCAAACTTAAAAGTCTTGCCTTATATACTCCTCCATATCTAATCCATATTCTTCCTTCATTTTCTATCCTTATTACGCAAAATCAGTATTAGACTTTTGGATATATTTTATAATTTGGAAGAGGAAGGGATGCTCTCATGCTCCAATATATACATGTGACCATTCGAAATTAAGATATATTATTTACAAAATGTCCCAGTTGGATGAAATCAGAACATGGGACCGGAAGATGAGAATTAAAGAATAGTGAGGTGGATTGAATAAATATGTGAAACTCGGATGGTAGAAACGAAAATAAGATTAGCGGTTGCACAACTGATATTCACACTCTACAGTATTCACAAACAAACAAAAGAAAGGAACCAAAAGATGATAAGTGACGAAGCAGCAAGAGGGTTCAAACGGGTGGAAGGGTTTCCGGTTCTTGGAGACGGCGTTGGCGACAGCGATGGCGGTTTCGCTGATGCGGTGGGTCCCCTGACACCATTCTTATCGTTACCTGAAAATTCCAAGAAGCAGATTCATTAATAAAACTTCTGACACTAAATAGTTTTTATTCTTGGAGAACAAGTTAGGGCATACAATCAGATTCTTTCCATCCTAAGATCATTCTCTCACGATCGTGGATGATTCTGTAGTTGGTCATGAAGTTTTCTTTTTAAGACAAAAAGAGAGAAAAAATTGAAATGAATGATTAGATATTGGTAAAGATGTCCAAATGTAAGAATATTGTAAAATTAAAAGAAGAAGAAAAAAAACGAACGTCCGATGATGTTGAGGTCGGCAGTATCTTCTTTTAAGACAGCCAAGCAATAGACTTGTCCACCCTGTAAATGCAATGGGGAGATTCATAATATTATTATGTAATTATTATCATGAATTGATGAGATGAGAGATGTGTACGTACGTTAGTGGTGTCGAAGACAAGTATGGGGCTGATAACATTAAACACGGCTCCTCCTTCCATCTCAAAGCTGATTGAAGGAAGCTTGTCTTCATCTGATCTGCAAATAGCAACACACATATGCATCAATATTACTTTGATCTGTTTTCTTCTTAAAATCATATTGTATAAAGCGAGACTACGTACGCTGATGTAATAATGTAGCAGAACTCAAAGGGACTCTTCACACTTGCCGGAAGTCGTTTGTCTGTTATGTGAAGATGGAACTGCATGCACAACACAACACAACACACAAGATATGTCAGTATCTAGCTAGTGAATTAATGCCTAGACTGATTTAAAAACACAATTTATATGAACAATTCTAATGAGAAGCCAATAATAAAGCTAGGGTATGTACGTTTGTGGTTAGAGAAGTGTAGTAAGGCTCGAGCAGCCATGTGACCGCGGTCCCAGAGTCAAATACGGCACTGAACTCTATATCCACCGTCACACTTCCTACCTTGAATTTGGTGATGCTCACATCGTAAAACGGTCTGTATTCACATGTTATTGTTCGACGTTACACAGTGAATTTAATTACTTGTGTGAAAAGAAAAAAAAAAGATATTAGGTGTAAGAGGAGTTTACAGATCAGGTATGAGAGTCAGTGGAGTCTCAAGCTGGTCTGAGCTTCCCTTGTCTCCGAAACTGATTGTTCCTGTCCCATTCGGACCAAAACACATTGAGAAAGAGTTTGAGGCCACGCCGGTTTTAGCCAACATGTTTGGAACCGCTATGTCGGCTATTCCAAGCCCCATTATACCATTTACAGCCGCTTTTTGAAATAGCCCTAGTTGAGACTCACTACATCTGCCACCAATTAAATCCTCTTCTATGTTAATTAGTGTCAATCACTCATAATACGGTTTCATAGTTGAAAGTAACAAACCCGAAAGTGATCCGAGCGTCTTTGGCTTCTCCTTCTTCTGTGCTCATGTGGATCACATCCTCCACTAACACACCTGTGCTTCTGCTTCCGGGCGAGAGATATCTGATTCTATAAGGACAGTCACTGAGCGGAGAAACACATCTGTTTCTTGATGAACAGAGTGTGCTATTGCACAGAACCTTTGAGCTTGATGTTGATATTCTTGGGTTGTAGACGTTGAGCTTTATTCTCTATTATTTATACATCATGTATTATAAGATGATCTAGATTTACTGTTACAACTAATAACACTAATTCCAAGATATTAATTATTACCTCGCCTTGGTCGGTCTCCATGCTCCGTACGCAACTAGAATTGCAATTGCAAGGTAACCAAAACAAATGACTTCCCGTGTCTAAAGCCACCAAGAACCATTGAGCCGGTGTCCCTACTGTTACGTTCGCATAATGCAAACTGAACATTAAGAAAAATATAATCAAAGCATGTCCACTTGTACATAGTACTAAAATGAAAAGAAGAAAAAAAAAAAACAGAGGAGGAGTTTCGAATTTGTTTCATACAAACTGATTTCTTGAGTGGAGTCGCCTTGAGCGAAAGAAACAGTCGTCTGATTGTTGTTGGAGGTTAACCGGCGACCTCGATCACGGTGAACCAAGGCGTTGTAGTATTCGAGGGTGCCCATTTCAGGCAAGCCATGGCCACCAAGAACGGTCTTGACTTGCTCCGAGAATCTATGGTGAATTTCAAAGGAGAATGATCCTGAAACTGAAGCACATCGTCCCAAACTCATAACACAGAATCCAAACTGCAACATCCATCTCAACTTCTCACTACTCCAAACCATTCTCCGATCTTTCTCTTTCTCCATGAATCTATAATTTTCTGTTAAATTAGGAACAGTTCTGTTGCTTCTTGCAACTTGAGTTTCTTTTACCACACGAAAGTTTCTTTGTTTCCTCCACAAGGGTGTTTTTTTGTGGCTATTTGAGGGGAAAGGTCAACTTTTTGTCTGGTGCTTTGTATTTGTCAACGAATTCTAAAGAACGTTTATTAAAGGAATATGTTGCCAACGAAATTCCCAAATTTGATTCCATTTTAGAACATCACTCGTATTACTTATTCAGCAAAGTAAAAAAAAAAAATCGTATTAATTATATATATTAGCTGATTTCTTAATAAAATCATAGAATTTCTTATTCTAATCTTATAACAAATTAAAACCACAAGCACATGATCTACATTTGAATCGTCGTGTTTGTGTGGCTGTTTATAACTAACTATATTTGGTGGAGATGTGATTAGAGACGTGGAGGGATGTTTGTTTGTTTGTTTGTTCCATGAGTTAGGTGCAGCCGGTACACATTTGGCAATGATACAAATTGTTAAATTCTATAGACAGGAAAGCAAAGGGGTGTTTTGGTAATGAGATAAAAGTCAGAGGATGGAAATGTCAATACTGATAAAGTACAGAAAGGAGAAACCGTTGACTTTATGATAAGGTCATGTACACGTGTCTGGCATATTTGTGGGCCCGAACCCAAATTAGTCTCCGATTCCCCCCGGCGTTGTATTTTGGGTAGACTGTCTGAATCATAAACTCCGTCATCTCTTTGTTTTTTAGTTTTCTGGTCAGAAAACTGATTAATCTCTCTAATCTCAAAAAACATGACAAGAATCAGTTGACTAACATCATTAATTTATTTTTTTCCTATTTTTGCAAAATAATTTTAATCTATTTCAAAAGGAATAAAAACACACGAACAAGTACAAATGTAAAAAAGTACCCATAGAATAAGAAGTTCTCAAATACAAAACACGGCATATATAACAAACCGCAAAGAAAATTTGTTCTATATTATAGATAACAAATACAGGTCTATAATCAACCTTTTTCTCTCTCTCTCTCTCTATATATATATATATATATATGTCTCTTCATTAAATGTGGACTAAGTTATGGGTGCTGATCTGAGTGTGGACTCTTGGTGGTTACTTAAGAGTATCCAAATACAATTCTACAAAGAATAAACTCAAGCCTTGGTTCTTGAGAAATTGGGGAGAAGGTCGAGGCAGTGAATGAAATGGAGGTCGTGTACAAGAGGATTCCCGGTTCTCCTTGGTGGAGACCCTGCGTACCACATTGACTCTATTGTTCCACCTTCTATCGGCTGTACCTACCACAATTAGTATAATCTAATTAATTAGCACTTAAATATTCATGCAAGCAATGCGAATTTAGAAACACTCTTTCCGGTTTCAGTATATAAGTGTTGTTATGACATTTTTTTTAAATAAACAGTAGTTGACATTTGGACTTTTGTTTTATTTTTCTTTTATATTAAATTTAACTATGAACAAGTTAAATAAATCTACATATTTACATACATTGAAATCCTTAAACACATATATTTTGAAAAGGAAGGAATACTATATATATAGTCAAAATGATGGAAAAAGCAATAATGACCTTATCGATTACGCTGAGAACGCCGCTTCTTCCCTCCGAACTTTGTTGGCTGATCAAAGGCACAAACATGTAGGAGCCATCATGATGAAATTTAGAGAAAAATAAAGAATATTTTGTGAATTTTCATCAATATTTCTTTTTTTTTGTTGTGAAGTGTAAATACAAACCCTAAGCGCAAATGAAAACACATACAAAGACCATATATAATGTTACCAGTTGGAAGAGTGTAGGGAACATGAGAGAGGTTTGAGGAAATCAGGAAAAGAAGGACACACACGGCGTGGCTTTGGACAAAGAGGTTGCTTCATTGATGACATTGTCGTCTCCGAGTGGTGTTGCATTTTTTCTATATATTCTTTTAAAAAAATTCCGATCCAAAAGAACAGATAGTAATTTATATTATTTAAATTGACCCTCTTTGTTTAACTGGAGTCTGAAACGTAATTAACTAGTGTGACTCTCTCTATATACACACGACACAGAAAAGAACACGTAGAACAATGTAGTTCGCTAATTTGTAGTAACGAGTGAAGCCAAGTTTTGGTTATTCTGAGACAAAACAGTAAAGAAAACGTGAGAAGTTATCATGTGTGAAGTTTCCGTGATTCCTCCATGTCTTGGTAAAGAGTGAAAGTAGGGTTGGTTTTCTTGACTACTCCCCCTCATTTATGGATTTACTCTTAATATATTTACAGTTTATAGCAGTAAGGCCAATCATAGATATTCAAGGCCCAATTTTGTCTAGAGAAAAGGCCCATTGTTGTTTTTTCTTTAATATATTTTTTTTTAAAAAGGGGAAAAATGTGAAAGGAAGGAAGAGGGGAAAGGCGAAGCACATGGGAGAAGTGAAGGGAAACGGGAAAAGAAGTGCAGGTCAGGTGCAGGTGGAGATGGAGATGGAGATGGAGATGGAGGTGGAGGTGGAGTTGGATGTGTGGATGTGCACACGTATGTCCGTATTGAGACAGCTAACGTTAAATGATGTCATTATATCACGTGTCTCTCTTTCAATCACTCACAGATATTCTACTCTCTCTCTTTCTTTCTTTCTCTCTTTAAAAAAAAAATTGTAACTATCAATCTTCTTCGACCAACACAACACACTTCTCTTTCCTTTTTTTTTTTCATCTGCAACACTTTCTTTTCTTTACTTCTCAGATTTGATTGAGTTTTCAGTTTTGGTCCAACACTATATTGTCATAAGGGGTGAATATATAAGAAATAATTAGTTAGTGGGTATAAATCGAAAGGATTAGAAAAATAGAGGACTGTTTGACAAAATAAAAAGGAGGAGGAAAAGTCAATTAGAGAGAAAAAGAGGGGTTAGGTTTTAGAAAATCTGATCCAGTAATTGGGATTGGATTGTCTGGTTAGAAGCAGTGGAGCCCTTTCCTTCCTTTCTCTTCTCTTTTGCCTTCCTCTCTGTGGGAGAGGGTCGACCCCAAGTCCTTTCTTCTTCTTCTTCCTTTCTGTCTCCTTCAATTCTCTGGATCTGATTCCGATCTATCGTTCTCTCTTTCCTCACATCGATCCTTCAGATCTATTTCGTCTTTCTTCCATCGACCCTTGCTTTTTTTTTCTTTCTCTTCCACTTGTAGCATCATCAGACTCTGAGCTCATATTTTTTCCGACCTTTTCTCTCATTCCTAAACCCTAATAATCCCTTGTGTAGATTTAAGATTGCTTCTGATCTCAATTCTGGAATCCCTTTTGATGCGAATCATTCATATCTGTTGACTTGAAATCTGCGGGTGACTTCTTCCTGTTACATCTAGAATCTCAGGTACTAAATCTCTCCCGAGTTTGAAAAGTTTGGATTTTGTTCTCTGAGTGTGGTCCCTGCTAGTTGATTGATTCGCCCTTAGCTCTCATATGATCCATCATCCACTGGGTTTACAGATTCGTGAGTTCATAGTAGCCAAGTCTCGTTACGCGTTGAGATTTTTTCAGATTCTCTGTCAAAGCTAATATTTTTATCGGTATTCCTGAGACTTGTTTCTATTTTTTGAATTGCAGATTCATAAAGCTAAATCGTTGTCACACTTGTTTGATCCTGCATCCCTTTTGACGCGAATGTGTAGGAAAAAAAGGGTTTCCCTGATGACATGAGGGATGTTATCATCGTTGATGAAACTTTTGAGTGCTTGTCTGTGGCCTTCTTCCTCGGGCAAGTCCACCGATTCTACTGGTAAACAAGATGGACTGCTCTGGTACAAAGACTCTGGTCAGCACCTTCTTGGCGAATTCTCAATGGCAGTTGTTCAGGCCAACAATCTCCTTGAAGACCAGAGCCAAGTTGAGTCTGGTCCTTTGAGCACACTTGATTCGGGTCCTTACGGAACTTTTATCGGAATCTATGACGGTCATGGCGGACCCGAGACCTCCCGCTTTGTCAATGACCACCTCTTTCAGCATCTAAAGAGTGAGGAACTCAACGATATAATATATGCATACATGCTTGTGGACCAACCTCGAGGATGCTAAAATCTTATTGAATGTACAGGATTTGCAGCGGAGCAGTCGTCTATGTCGGTGGATGTGATAAGAAAGGCATATGAGGCGACCGAAGAAGGGTTTCTAGGGGTTGTGACAAAGCAGTGGCCGGTTAAGCCGCAGATTGCAGCGGTTGGGTCTTGCTGCCTGGTTGGTATTGTATGCGGAGGGAGGCTCTACATCGCTAATGTTGGGGATTCGCGTGCCGTTCTTGGAAGGGCTATGAATGCGACTGGTGAGGTTATTGCGCTTCAGCTCTCGGCGGAACATAACGTGAGCATAGAGTCTGTTAGACAGGAGATGCGATCCTTGCACCCGGATGACTCTCATATTGTCGTGTTAAAGCATAATGTGTGGCGTGTTAAGGGTCTTATTCAGGTATGTTTCTCAATCATACTTCAGTTAGATTTTGAGGGTCAAAGGTTTTTTTTTTTTATTCAGGTACATGATTATCTTAGTAAATCACTTGGGGTTGATTTTATAGTTGCCTCAAGAAAAATTGGAGAAAGTCTGAATTATATGGCCTTGAACTTATTGCCAAGGCGCCATAATTTTATTCAACTTATAGGGCTTATAGCATATCAAGATCAATTAAGATGATCTGACAGTTGCTGTTTAAAATGAGGTCTCAATTAAGAATCTGACAGTTGTTGTTTGAGATGAGGTCCAATTAAGAAATCTAACAGTTGTTGTTTGAGATGAGGTCCCAATTAAGAAACCTAACAGTTGTTGTTTGAGATGAGGTCCCTGCATTAACTTTGACTGTATACTCAAAAAAGTCGACTTGTAGTTATCTTGACTTTGTCATCCAATACCAAACCCACCAACCGAGAAGAGCTCTTGATGAAGTTGATGCATTAAGCTAGATATCATAGTCGACAAAACAATTGGACCCGTCCATAACTGCCTATAGACAGTATGCGCAATTGTGTAGATATGTTTGTTCCTTTGCCATGCCAAGATAGATAAACCCTGAAGATTGAAATTCAAAAGGCTAGATATGTTTACTCCTTTGCAGATATCTAGATCCATAGGCGACGTCTATCTTAAGAAGGCAGAGTTCAACAAGGAACCATTATACACAAAGTACAGACTCCGCGAGCCGATCAAAAGACCCATCTTGAGTGGGGAACCGTCGATAACAGAGCATGAGATCCAACCACAAGATCAGTTTCTGATATTCGCTTCCGACGGACTATGGGAGCAGCTGAGCAACCAAGAAGCTGTTGACATCGTTCAGAACCACCCACGAAACGTGCGCTTGATCCATTTCTTCTTCTTTCTTTTTTTTATCCGTTTCTGTAAAACCTATTACAAAACCATATATTGACTCTGTCCTTTTGCTGTGGGAATGGGTGCAGGGAATTGCACGGAGACTGGTGAAGATGGCACTGCAAGCGGCGGCGAAGAAAAGAGAGATGAGATACTCTGATCTGAAGAAGATAGAGAGAGGAGTTCGGAGGCATTTCCACGATGATATCACTGTGGTCGTCATCTTCCTTGACACCAATGTAGTGAGCTCTGCCAAAGGACCCTCTCTTTCTATCCGAGGCGGCGGTATGACTTTCCCCAAGAAACTCTAAAGCTACTGCCACTACTACACTTTTTAGGTTCCATCTTTTGTAGTTATGAAGAAAAATGTCTCTTGTTGGTATAAGAATGTATAATTGTAACGTGAAAGCCACACACTACTGATGTTTGAAACTCAATTCCAGTAATTATTAATTTTTATTTTATTCAGCAAAACTTTGTGTAATGATGTAATTGTTGTTGATGATGAATGAATGTAGGCCTTTCCTCTGTCATACTCAGTGGTGCTTGCTTGATAGTGATTTGTATCCTAAATATGTGAACAAATAAAAAGAAGTACCTTTAAACTCGCATACCTCTTAATCCTAAATATTGTATGTATTGCAAATCACCATCAGACGCCACACATGATACATGTTGCGCAATTTTTTGTTAGTTTACTCTAAAAAGTAGTAATAACTTAAACTCATTTATCTCCTAATTGTGTCTGAGTCTCTGTCTCATCCAGTGTAATGGAAAAGAGGAAGCTTATCCTCTTCTACTTGTACTGGTGTCAAGTTGAAGCTTATATATGATGAGGAACTTAAAAATAAACTTGAAGGAGGTCAAGAACTTTTTGGTTAGCCTTTCTTACGTATTCTTTTTCCCATTCAGTTAATGGCTTAAACTATGTATTATTGTGGACTTAGTGTTGTACTTTCATGCTACTCGATATGCAGCTTAATCACAGAGATAATTGAAATGTTGATAATGTGTAGGTGATAACAGCAGGTACAGCAGATACAGAGATTTGATATAGTTATCAACACAAGAAGATATAATTGGGTACAGTGATAATGTGTGTTCTGCATAAATTAAAGGCATTGGTTTGGTGGACCGGAGGGGTTATTGTAGCTAGAGAGAAGTAAATAGTTGTAACCTCCCACCAGTCCTAACCAGACTAAAAAAGGATTTGCTTTTACAGAAGCTCTGGTGTTACAATGTGACTTAAAAACACAGACCTTTCTCTTGAGAATCTTCAATGGAGAGAGAGAGAGAGAGAGATGGGTCATTAGGGTTCATAACTTGCTTGAGGTTGTAAAAAGCAGAAAGAAAGAGAGAGAGAGAGAGAGAGAGAGAGAGAGAGAGGGCCAGGAAAAAAAAGCAGTAAGAGCATTAATGTTGCAGGCAGCCAGTGTCCCCTCTCCTTCTGCGAGATTCCCTCAAAATTTATTGTAGAGCATCTTCGATGTTCTTTAACTTCTTCCTCATCAAATCTTTTTAAGTTTTTATATATATATATATTTTGTTATGAACCTCAAGAAGGAAAGACAGAGGAGGAGACAAAGGAGTATAGGTTCACATTGCATAGCCAGTTTAGTTTTGAACGATGGTTACATGTAATGGAAGTTGAAATATGTGAAGAGAGAGAAGAGAGAAGAGAGAGAAGGGGGTAAAATTAAAGAGGGTGACCCAGCTTTTGTGCTTTGGTAGTAGATGTGGTTTAAATGCTCCATACCTTCCATTTTCTTCTCTCATACCCTAATTAATTCCTCTCCTTTATAACTCCCCCACAGACATTCTCACTTCTCCTCACACTTCCCCTCACACGTCTATCTTCTTTCTTTTTTCATTTACAGGCACTCTCCTTTGGCTTCTGCACGAAAGAGTCCCTTTGATATTGGCCTGGTTCATTCAGATCTTTCTCGACCATATACACACGCACATTCACATATGCATTCTCTAGATATCTGATTGAGCCGCGCCAATATCCCAGTGCTCTCTCGTCTCTCACTGTTTTGGACTCTTGTTTCTTGTAGATCTACCTATTTGGATTTTTTTTACCTGACTGAATGTAAATTCTTTCTTGATGGTTTTACTTACATAGCCGATGTTCACTCATTGAGGCAACTGATTGATCTTGCTTTATGATATTTTTCCAGATTCTTATAAATCAAGTCATGCAATTTACCAGACAAAAAATGGTGTGTCTCCATGGAAGCCTTGCCCTTTCTTCCTATCCAAGGTACCCACCAAACCTGTGCATACTGCTTGCAATTTGGTTTTGCTTGGTATATAATCAATAAATCCTTTTAAAATGTAAATTTACGTGGAGACATTGTTGTTAATTTCTACTAATTTTCAACAAAATCTGAGACAGAATGTTAGCTAGACTGAACTTGTTTTATCGATCAATACAAATGCAGGGTGTTAGGGCTAATTAGTACATATACAAAATCAATCACAAAACGGTGAATTAATCTGAAAGGACAATGATGTTAAGTAGAATGTCACAATCACAAGAAGATGGTAGAAACAGGGGAAAAGTAAGGATTTGTCATGGAATTAATGAGAGAGAAGCTGACGAGCACGAACCCTAACCTGCAAGCGAGCAAGGGCATGCATACAATGTAAGGCTATTCGAGCTTGTCTCCTCACAAGCACTCCTCTAGCTACCGCCTGAAGCTTTACAAGACTCTTGAGCGCTCTAAACGCTCTCCTCGCCTACAACACTTTCATTAATGGTTTTGAAATAACACTATAACAGAGATCTTATTATAGAAACGTGTGTGTTTTTTAATTACCAGGTGGCCTCTGAAGAAAGCTTGGATTTTAATGGCGGCAATCTCTTCTTTAGTTGTTTTTGTGGTTGAAGAGCGGATGATGGTGATTCTGCTGGGAGATCGCCGGAGAAGATTCCTCCTTACAACGCCAAACAATCTTTTGGAGTTGGCCATATATGAGAAAATCAATGGCCTTTCTCTCTGCTTTTGGGTTTGGTTTTTAACAGAAACGTGGAGGAGGAAACGTAAAATGTAAATAAAAAGTAAAGGCGGTGGCTTTAAGGGATGGAGATGATGTGCTCTCCATATTTAGTTGCGTATCCTAACGAACGAACGTGCTCGCATGCTTTCTAGTTTCTACTTGATTTTGTTTTTCTTTTTGTTTATTAGTTACTTTTGAAGACACAAAGACTCTTTGGTCTTTTTACATTTTAGTTAATAGTTATGCCAAAAAAGAAACAAATAAAGGAAAGCTCATTGAGATTTTGTCTTTGAGAGGTTTATACCAAAAACTTACAACACTGTTAACAAAATGAATTGTTCATATTTGTTTTTACTTCTGAAGATAGATAGGTTTGACTCTTGCTGGTGCTTTATTATTAAAGAAGACAATATGTAGAGACTTTGTAGCATTACGTTCAAAAACCCAACATCTTAACTTTTGGAGGCTAATCAAAAGAAAGTTGAGCATTTTCGATTTGAACTACTTTAAACAAACACACTCATGCTCTCTCGAGAAAAGTTGAGGCACTTGGTAACACACACACACACACACACACTCAAAAGCTAACTGTTACTGCCTAGTGAAGGCTACGCATGATGCCATGTATGTATCCTCCGGTCATAATGAAAGACATGAAGGACACAACTCCAGCCGGAAATATCTTCTTTGAACCCATGTACCTCGTCCCCATCACCCACGTCAATGCACCCGCCATCACTTTTTTAACAAAGAAACAACCACACGGCAAATTCAGGCTTTATCTACTACTATCATGGGTTCCGCAATCAAATGAGATAAACCAGCAAACTGAGAGCTACTCTGCTATTGGATATCTTACCTACGCCAATGGTTGATGCAAGAACAGGTTTTGTTGGGAGCTCGCGGAAAACATAGAGCAGAACAGCAGCTGAAAGTCCTCCCGCAAGCAGCGATTTCTGGCTACCGCTCTTCAGATAACCCATCAGCCCACCAACTGCATCAAAACCCAAAGACATATGAGATACCGAAGCATCATCAAACGGATTTTTCTTGAATACGTTTCAAATAAAGTTGTGAGTCCACAAGAAAGTGACAATTCAACTTCCCATTTCGATTCATCTGATAAGCATACACAGATAGAGACTTGACTACTATGAACTCGTAACGATTAGGACCATCTCATTGGACATCAACAAGGAGAGAAATCCAGAAACCACAATGACATTAAACAGAATCCCCAAGCAACATCAAAACCCATCTCTAGCAAATAATCAATAACGATGGAGAGAGTCTTACAAATTCCTCATGTGACGAACATTTGTGTTGTCACAACAAATACAGATAAATGTCAAAGATGTTTCTATTCCTATTGCGTACAAACGGATTGTGCTACGAACAAGTTCTAGAACTGATCACTGATCATATATTCCCAGCTCCGACAAAAACTGTGATCTGAAAATCCCAATTTAGAAATCAAATCTAAAATCTATATGAAGACGCAGATAGACCACTTAAACCCTAAAAGTTCCAACAAATGATAAAACTAAATCTGACCTCCCACGAGGAAAGCGTAGCCAAGAGTCAATTTCTGCGACATAGACAAAGGCGTAACCCTCTTCCCACCACTCTCCTCCTCTCCGCCTTCCCCTCCTTCATTTCCATCTCCGCCGCCGCCGCCAAACTTATCACCTCCAGTTCCGCCACCACCATCACTCCCGCCGCCGAGCTCAGGCTCAACTTCGACAGCTTTGACTCCCGAATCGACGCAATTAGCAGTAATAGTGGTGATCGTCTTGGTCGAATCCGAAGGAACAACAACCGCGCCGAGAGGAAGTCGTCGTCGGTGGCCCGATGCGAACGCAAGAGGATGAAAACCGTTGGAATTAAGGAAAGCGATACGTCTGATCGGTGAAGCGGTAGGGGTCTTGAGTAAGAGGAGCTTGGGTTTGGCGTTAAGTAGAGATGACTGTGACGAGGAACTCAAAACCAAATCCGCCATTTCTTCTTCTTCTTCTTCTTCTTCTTCTTCGCTGTTTCGATCAGGATCAATGGCTGACTGAGATGCCCTTTATCGATTGCAAAATACCTCATATGCAATTACCCGTTTCCGAACTCTTTTTTCATTAATAAACCCTTAAAGCCCATAACTGACCCCAATTTAAAAATGGGCCTAATTTCGCAGAAGAGACCCAACTAAAGTCTTGTCTCCCCCAATTTCTTCTATCGACTTCATTTACACATCCTTCATCTCCACTGTTTTGTTACAATGGCCAACTAATCTCTACTCTGTCGAATTTCTCTACAGCTACAAGATTGTATTTGAAGATCCTCTTTTTGGCTTCGTGCGCGATTCTCCCTCTCTCGCTCTCTCTCGCTCTCTCTCTCTCCGAATGTTTGCCTGAGAGAGAGTCAACCATGGGCGTTTGCTGCCCTTTCCTTCGACCCTGGGATCGAACCCGGGACCAATTTCCCCTCAACCTTCCTTGTCTCTCTGATCCTGGTACCTCCACCCTTTTAACCCTAGTGACGATGATGTTTCTCTTCACGTCTCAATTCCTCGTTTTTGAATCCGTTGTTGAGATTTGATTTAGGTTCTGATTTCACTAACTCAATTGTTTTGCTTTTGCTGTTTTTTTTTCCTCGACCCTTCTTCACCCACCAGTTCGAAGATCTTCTCTGCTTCTGAAATTGGCACTAGTAGCGTTACACCTCGTCTTCATCGGCTTCCTCTTCGTCTGTGATGCAGAATTCATTGAGAAAACTAAGCGAGATCCATGGTAGCTTTGCTTATCTCTCTGACTAATTTAATTTAACTCCTCCTATCTTCTAAAAAGAGCTCAACTTTTCTTGTTCGTACTGATTCAAGCCCTGTGATTCTCTAACAGGTACATGGCCTCTTATTTCTTGTTGTTTTCTGCCACTCTTCTGCAGTATTTTGTGACTTCTGGCTCTTCACCTGGGTAAGTTAACTATCATCCGTGTTTCATTTTTTTTTTTTTGATTCTGCAAGTGAAAAAGAACATACGGTGCTAAACCCTCTTTCGTTGTTTGTCTTTCAGGTATGTTATTGATGCGATGAGGGATGTTTGCGAGACAAATGCAATGTACAGAAACGCACCTACGACCTCAATGTAAGAATTGCTCTTTCCTTGTTGTAGTAGCAAACTTGGTGGAATAAGTGATGGAATTGCATTCTATACTTAACTAGTTGTGTCTGTCTAAGTATTGAGTTATATACTTTTATTATGTCGTTATTTAAGCGAAGACAACATGCTTCCAGAAAAAGTGGGAGCGTGATTGTTACCGTGGAAGGAGAATCAGCCTCGGGTGGCAGAAGGACTCCGTCTTCATGGGGGAAGTTGGTTCTGGACTTGTATCCTCCAGGAACATCCTTAAGGTAAGGCTTCTTACTGTGAGAATCTTGAAAAAACTCAGCTTAGAACTTGTTACTATTATTACAAGGGAAAGGAGTGTACTGAATTGTTTCTAATTTAACATGCAGAAATCTGACGTGTGGCTATTGTCATGTGGAGCAGGTAACGTCTGAATCTTGTATGATTTAAATTAGCCACTGTAGTTGTTGAACTTAGTTTTTGACCTGTTTATTTGCAAGTTTTCACTCCCTTAATCTTTCTCTTGAAAACCTGTGATGTTCTGCAGCCTCCACGAGCCAAACATTGTCATGATTGTGATCGATGTGTTCTTCAGTTTGATCATCACTGTGTTTGGCTGGGAACATGTGTAGGTCAGAAAAACCATTGTAAATTCTGGTAAGTCTGCAAAATCTGAACTCGTATTGTTACATTGTTCAATAAAGATATTAAGTTCGATATTATGAATCAAAATCTAGTTTTAGACCCCATAATATAAGTGTTTCCACGATATCAGGTGGTACATCTGTGAAGAGACAACTCTATGCATGTGGACACTCATCATGTACATTGACTACCTAAGTAACGTAGTGAAGCCTTGGTATAATACTTTTTTCATCTCCCTCTCGTGTTTTGGCCTACAAATTCGTTAGCAGCCCCAATTCGTTGAAATATGAATTTCAAATGGAAATGTGAACAGGTGGAAGAATGCAATTATCATACTACTGCTTGTCGTTTTGGTGATCTCCTTGATATTTGTGCTGCTTCTATTGCTTTTTCACAGGTGGGTGTATTCACATTTCATGATATTTTCCTCAAGTCTCATACTTATATTTTGGGGTCTAATTCCATCCGTTTTAATTTCCAAACTGATTTCCTGCAGCTACCTCATTCTAACGAATCAAAGCACTTATGAACTGGTGAGACGAAAACGTATTCCGTATATGAGGTACTCAACACATCTTCTATCGCCTAGTAATGATATCAAGTTTTTTAAAGAACATAGAGAAGATAAACTTTGGTTCGTCGAGTTACTTTATGGAGACCCCTGTTTCTTTGTCCAAGTGTATATATGTCAGATGATCTGTTTGTTTGTGCGAGTTATTGTTCATGTAATAACACTGCTTTTTGAGGTTTGTAGGAATATTCCGGAACGAGTGCATCCTTTTAGCAAAGGAATTAAGAGGAATCTATACAACGTCTGTTGCAGCAACGACAATCTAGACTCACTGCCCACTTCTTTTGAACTCGAGGATAGATCAAGACCCTACACTTGCTTAGATATGTTGAAATGTCGTTGCTGCTAAGTTTTTAAAAAAAAATTATTATACAACTATCTCTATTGTTTCAGTGTCATTTAATCTATGAAGATAAAATATTTTCCTCTTAAGATATCTGATGAAGTTGTATACACACATGGTTTCTAGTGAAACAATTAAACTATATATGCAAAGAGAGTATGTTCAAAAGAGAGACTCTAGCTTGGATCATACGCCTGTACAAGCTTTCAAGCGACCCCTCCAGATCTTCAACCACAACATCTACGTTATCCAAGCTGGTGATCAAAGACTTGATTCGCTCCTTTTTCATCTCTTTCGCCAAGCAGAATCTTTGTAGTTCTTCGTCCATCATCTGGAACTCGTTTCTGTGTCCGTTCTGAACTTGACCACTTGTAGAAGCGTTCTTGATCATCAGTTTGGTGACCAAAGCCCATCTGGATGGTCTGGTCTTTGGTACAGGTGTGAACAAGGACAACAAGACTGTCCTAAAGGAATGACATGTTTGGAAACAAACTTGTCGGAGCAGCGTGATCATAGGATGAGTTGACCCGGAGGATGTGTGATCGGTTTGTTTAAGCAATAAGAGTAGCTTAGCGAGGTCTTTGTGAACCGCTTTCCTAGATCGCATAAAGGCTAAAACGTGGATGGTAGAATCTCCACCGTGTCTCCTCCGCCTGAAAGCAGAACGAAGGTCACGGAGACAGTCCTTGATGCGGCAAGTGATGTCTCTTAGCTTGGAGCATAAGTCAAGGTGTACAAGGGAGAGATCAAGAAGATGGGTGAAGAAAGAGTGATGAGGGAGTAGTAATGAAGAAGGTGAATCGTCGAAGAGATGAGATACGGACTCATAGAGCTGTGAGAGAAGTGAGAGACTATTATCATCTGTAGGAAGCTTGTTGAGGAGTTGCTGAATATGGTTGAGACCATTTGAGTGTAGCCGAGCTGGTAAGCTACAAGACCGGACGTGGTAGGAGGCAGCCATTGATAATAGAGAAAGCTTTAGCTAGAAAGAAGCTGAAGTTGAATATATATATATATATATATATATATAGAGAGAGAGAGAGAGAGAGAGAGAGAGAGAGAGAGAGAGAGAGAGAGAGAGAGAGAGAGAGAGAGAGAGAGAGAGAGAGAGAGAGAGAGAGAATGTAAATGCCACGTGAAGGGGACAATGTTCACTTGTTCCATCAAAGCCCACTTAATGTTCTCTTTTTTATGCCTCTCTGAATTAACTTTTGATCTCGACGTATGCAATTATAGAGTTCGCTCTACATATACCTAATTTGCTAGTTTCATGTCTTTTGTATTCGTAGCTAATTTGTTTGGTTTTAGGGAAAATTAATAATAAACGAGGTACCCACTTAGATCTTTAATTAGGCGAGAAGAATCAAAACAAAGATATGTTGTGTCAAGCACCTCCTCAACTTTGGGTATTGAAAAACACCGTCATGCAATGGACTGTAATTACATAATTAGTGATGATCATGTATATTCTCTTATATTTTGTGTGATCAAAGGAATATTAGCATAATCTAAACAAGAAATAATTAAAACTGATATAAGAAAATAAGCTGGTGGTTGGATAATAGTATATATGGGACCGTGTGCACGAGTGTCTTGTTGAAAACTTCCAGAGGAAAACGAAACGATACTAATTAATTAAAAATCTCAATCACAATATCACACCGCTTTCAATTTCTTTAACTAAATTGAAATACATGAACGTGACTTGTCACTATCAAAGTACAGCCTGCAACTGAATCTCTCATCTATTGGATTAGACATTCAAATATCTAATCTCAAATATCTATATATCCTAACTATTAGGCTTTTCATCTTTATCAGAAAAGGGTTTCTCATAATAATATCTTCCCGTGCCTTGGATCTGTAACTTTTTTCCTTTTTTGATTTACTTGTATATGCAACTAAGAGATATTTCATAACTTTTTTTGAAAAAGGAGATATTTCATTTGAGATATTTTTTCGATATCCCATTCCCATGCATGATGCATGTACGATAACACTCATTGTAAGTTATTGGCTCTACTAATATCGAAAATATGAGTAGAAGAAGTTTTGTCTGTTGAACATATATAAGAAGTTGATGTTAAGTAAGTGTGTGAAGTTTAGGTATTGCGACGATAGACAAGAAACAGTTTGGGCCATGTGAAATCACGTCACCGTTGGATGGAGTTGGACCCTCCGTTACATAAAACTAGCAACTACAATATTAACATTACACTTGTTTTTTTCATTATTATTATTTTTGTTTGGTTTTTTTGTCATTTTCTGTAATTATTGTGCCACCCAATTTCCATAATTGGTGAGCCATTGCCCCCATCACCTCATCTCTATTGCCGCCTCTCCATAACTCTCTTTCTCATCTGTCTCCTACCTTCTTCTCTCACTTCAATAAAAGTTTAACAATATTAAATATCATTGATATAATTATAAAGAATTACAAAAGGTATTAAGGAGAAGCCTTGTGCAAATGCAACAATAATATCATTGATATCAATTATAATTATAATATTGTAAGAAATTTGCTAGCTGTACATGCATCCCTTCATGGATATCAATAATCAAAACCAGGCTATACATTAAAAAAAAAAAAAAACTCGTTTAGTTATGATTTTGAAATAAAATCTATTAGTTATTTATAGATATGTATTATTGTCTTATGATTACTTAGTACTACTATATAAAATTGGAATGGGGTCGGCATCTTAGCAAACTTGAACTGTTGCATGTATCGATTTGTGGGGACAAGAGGAATCAATGATCAACGGTCTCTCTCTCCTTTTTAATCATAAATAAATAAATTAACCATATGACTATACGAAATTATAGATCTTAATTTTTAGATGTTCGGCGGTGTAAAAAATTTAATTTCAAAAATAGTAATGTGCACGTGTGTAGAGACTTCCACCAATGTTAGACTGCCACATCATCATCATTTTGCCATGAAAACACTCGTAGTTGTACGGACGCAAATCTTACAGGCTTTGCGCTCTTGAGAGGATATATTTTCTTGGTTATTAAGAAGTGTTTGAATTATGTAGCTATCATTTATCGGTCTACAATAACAAAAAAAACACCACTAATTCCTTGAATATAAGAATCTGTATGTATATCTATATATGTTTTGTGTACAATTAGAGACTAATTAACTAACTACACAAGTTAAGAGTGTGTTGTAAGAATGTTGAGCAAAGAAACTCTATATTGGACAAGAGACTTGAAAAGAGAATCAAGTGCAGCTTCAAGTCCCTCTGTTCTCTCTTCTAATATCTCCAACGTCTTCTTCACTTCCTTGGAGTTGTCTCCATCTGAACGTAGAACCAAATCCAAATTCTGCAACTCGCTCATTATCGACGATGACGATCGACCACCTCCGATAAGCTTAGAGACGAATTTGAGAGTACATGTATTTGTCTTCATCGCCGGAGCAGTCGACATAAACATGAAAAGAGATCGGAAGACGGAGACGAACAAAGCGGTGGTCTCAGAGCCTTCCATCTTCTTGATGCTGAGAAGAAGCTTGTTAGTCTCTTTCTTGGCTTTCTTCCTGAAGGAGAAGTACTCTTTGATCTGTACTTCCATGGATTTGCCTTTTCTTCTAAGTGCAGATTGAAGGTTGAGGAGATGCTCCCTAAGGGTGAGAATTAGGTTTCTCGCTGCGTCGCAAGAGTCTAGTAACGTGGCTGACACGTCAAGAGAATGTTCGGCTTCACTGATGGGAAAAGAGTGATTGAGTTGGTGGAGTGAATGGTAGAGCTCAGAGAGGTTGAGCAATGAGACTTGAAGAGATTGAGAATCAGAGGATGAGTTTTGGCAAATCTGAAGTTGAGATAGTGCAGCTTGGAACTTAGCAGAAGGAGGGTGGATTCTTGATGGTAGACTTATGGATCTAATGGGCACATGGAGATGGGTTTCAAGAAATGCCATGTTTCTTGATTTCCGCTGAAGAAAAGAAAGAAGGAGAAGTTGGGTATATATATGAGTGAGGGCATGTGCGATAAACATGGGATATTTTTATTTTGTTTTACATTAAATGTACAGTGAATGTTTAGTTAAGCCACGATAGCACATGGAGATGAAAGGAAGCTTTGAATGCTCTGTGTTTATGCTCTGTTTTGAACGTGAAACCGATTTTAGAGGACCAGAGCTTAGAGAGGTCCATAACTAAATGTTGCCTTTGTGATTCCCATTTGATCAGCCGGAGAGAGTGGGCTTGTCAGAAGAAGGAGACATGGGAACATTTGTCGCAGACCATTTCAGATTTTTAACTCTTTTGTTTCATCCAATTGTCAATTTTGTCCTGTTAATTTATTCACCTTTGGTTCATGGACAAGGACAACTTCCCAAGACGGTCGTGACGAGGAAGAAGATTGTCGCCAACAAGATTAACATTATTTTAATTAGAAATTTCCTAATTAGGATTGCATAAGCATTACCCACTTTATTAATCTTGATTAGGATTTAGGAGGGCGGTTCAGTGTTTTGTGACTTTTGTCCCCTGATTCACTCATTTAAAGACGTTTTAATATAAAGTTTTTAAAACTTTGAATGAGTGTTCAAGGCTGTCATCAAACTCATTATCAATTGGAAATATTAAAGATCATGGCATGTTCCCGTTACGAGAGCATTGTTAAACTTGTTTACTTAGAAGAAGGGATCACGTAGGTCGTATGTATACGAATAGGATTAACGCTTGATCACGGGACGTTGCAATTAATTAATGTACGGGGAATCTTGAATGTAGTACGTTTTAGACAAAAGATCTTCATGAAATTTGATACTTTGAACCTCGTCTCAAATTTAAGAATTGATTCAGTTGAAATGTGTTTTTATCTGGTTTAGCTTATTAGAGGTCAACCGAATGGTATCGACTGATTTGGTTTAGCGTATTAGAGGTTAACCGGAAGGAAGAAGACTCCGGTTTGAAGGAAGGGTTTTCTTAAGTCCTTCCCTAATCGAATTTATATTCAGCTCAAGTCCTACACGTCTAGAATGTCATCATCGAAATCTATAAAATGAGAATATAGATGATTTCATCAAGACTTTTCAGTAAACTTAGAAATCTTGGAGTGAAAATTCTGATGAAGTTTAAGCTAAACCACAATCACTTCCTCTTTAAGTTAACCAATCGAAGGAAACTCTCAAGTATGAGAGAGGGTTATTCAGAAGCGACTGGAGCAACACGATCTAAGAGCATGTTCAATGCAAGTATCTTAAGTAATATCTTAGCAATAAATTATTTAAAAAAATTGAAAATCATGAAAAAGAAAGAAGAATCAACTCTTATATAGGAGACTTAAAAAACCATTCTTAACTTTTTCTAACACATGTCATTTAATTATTTGTTCATTTTCTTTAAAAAATCATGAGAGAGAAAATAATGATTTTTTTAATGTTTAGATACTCAAATTAAAAATTTTAGAATTGCACATGGTCTAAGGATATGAAGTTTACTGATAGTGGTCGAAACAACATAAATGAAAGTGGTAGGTTTTGGTCCTAAGAACAAAAGAGAGAGTCACTTCAAGAAAGATTGTTTTGCAAGAAAGAAACATATGCAAAGCGTTTTCACTAAGAAACTTCATCAAGTTTCATATGCATTGAAAATATGAGACATGAACCCAAAGAGATCGATGGATTACAAACTCTGGATGTACCTCTCACATGACATAAATTGGTTTGAAACATCTAGATCTAATTTAGAGATGATTGGTTTTGTCAAGCTTGGCACACATGGATGAACAGTGAAAATCATAGATAATGTTAGGTTATGTTCACTATCATCTGCATTAAGTATGGGATATTATTGGTTTAAAGGTTGGTTTACGTCTATGATGATTTGACAGCATAACGAACCAGTAGTTATGAGAAGTTATTGTTCTTACAGCCATTGCTTTAACTTCTTTAGTCCCTACGTAACAAACACTAGAGAAGTTGAGGGTTAGAAAGCTTGATTATTGTGAGAATTAGAGCAAACAAGTTTTTAAAAGAGAAACTTATTTCATAGCTAAACCGGATTAAAGTATTGAAATATTTTACAGTTATTTTATAAAGAAAATCTCTAGTCTAATATATGGGTTAAGATTGATGATGGAGGCTCAATGTTGTGTCCCCTGATTCACCCAAAGGAAAAGACAATTCATTAGAAAGTTTAACTCGATTGAGAGCTTCAAGGCTGGCATTGTTTATTTCTGATCAAGCCATTGTTGATAGAGAGACAAGATTGTGAGTTAAGATAATGGCGTGTCTCCGTTACAAGAGCTATGATTTTTTATATGATAAGAGTTGTTTATTTAGGGCAGAAAAGATTCATATGGGACTATTGTAATGTACGGGGAATCTTAAAAAGTGGTACGTTTCAGACAAAAGAGATCTTCATGGAATTTGGATACATTGAACCTCGTCTCCAAGTCAATCCATGCTTTTCTCTCTGTATATGCATGCACTGACTCAAATCACGGCCTCATAATATTGAAGGCCCAAATCGTACTCAATTAATGAGACCATAAGCCCAAATATATTGGGCCTTATGAGAATATAGTCAAAGCCCACAAAATATGACAATGACTATCGAATGGTTTACGACTTTACGTATCACAGAGTAAAACAATGCAACAATTTGTTCATCGTTTTCCGCGATGCATCTTCTCTTCTCCCCACGTTTCCTCTTCTTCTCCGCCCTCATCCCCTTCCTCGCCTCTATCGCTCTCTACCGAATCGACACATTTGATCCCGCTCGTTTTCCCGCTGAATCATTGGTCTATTCCACTAACTCCATCCCGCCGCTTCTCAACGACCGATTTCTCACCGGAGCTGAGTTTATCGGCGTCGGTCTTCTAAATAGCCCCGAGGATATCGCCTATCACCGAGACTCCGGCCTCATCTATACTGGCTGTGCAGACGGATGGGTGAAACGTGTCAAGGTTCTCGAGACAGCTAATGACTCAGCCGTTGAGGATTGGGTTAATACCGGCGGTAGACCGCTCGGCATCGATTTCGGACTCTACGGTATTGAGAGTATATTGTCATATATTATAAATAGGCAATATGCCTTAACTATTATACGTAAAACCCTAGGACGTTCTCTCTATTTGTGTAACTATATATATTGTATATTCTGATATCAATAAGATCATCTTCCGCTAAACACTTTGACATGGTATCAGAGCTTAGGGTTTTCTAAAAACAACAATCTCAATAGAGAACTCTAGCTGCCATCGTTTATTTATCTTCCCCTCATCACCTCTGTTTCTTCATCTTCAAGAAACAGTCTCTTTTAATCGTCTCTTTCATATCAGTCCGTGCTTTGTCACACATATCTTTGCCATCCAAATCGTAGTCAATCATGACTGGTGGGGATGATAATCAATCAAAATCAGCATCTGCTTCTGTCTCCAAAACAGAGCAATCAATCTTATCGGAGTACTATCTCAGCTCCTCCGCAGATCCGGGTCAATTAATATGCACCGTTTTACTCAACGGCAATAATTTTGAGCGATGGGCCAAGAATATGCGTCGTTCTCTTCATGCCAAAAATAAACTTGGTTTTATCGATGGAAGCATCTCACTGGTGAAAGATAAGCTTGATTTTGGATCATGCTTAAATATTGGGTTAATGATCCAATAATAATTGGGCCAAAACCCAATTATGCTTAATCAAAAATTCTAGAGTTTTTTTTAGAAAAATCAACACTTCCACCTCCTTAAAATGTTCTAGAGAGTTGTAGAGAATAAATATCTAGAGATTTCTCTAGATAATTATTGTAAAATAATCTAGATATTAAGATAGAATTCTCTAGATTTACGAATAAAATATTTTAGATATTTTGTACTTTGGAGGCTATAAATAGCTACCTCCTCTCTCATTTTGTAACTAACAAGCAAAAAGAAATAATAAGGGAAGTTAAGTGAAGTTCCTAAGTTCTCTAAGTTCTAAAACTTTCTTCTTCTTAAATTTGTTCCTTTGTCTTTCAAATTCTTAAACACCTTCTCCATCACTCTTAAAAGTTTTTTTTTTCCAACAAAGTGGTATCAGAGCTAGAAGATTCTCTTAAAGATGGCAAGTAATGGTGCTCCCTTCCAAGTTCCAATGCTCACTAAGAGCAACTACGACAACTGGAGTCTAAGAATGGTGGCCATTCTAGGAGCACATGACGTGTGGGAGATTGTCCAAAAAGGCTACATTGAACCGGAGAATGAAGGTAGTCTTTCTCAAACTCAAAAGGACAGTTTGAGAGACTCAAGGAAGAGAGACAAGAAGGCTCTCTGTCTCATCTATCAAGGATTAGATGAAGACACATTTGAGAAGGTTGCCGGAGCAAAGATGGCCAAAGAAGCATGGGAGAAGCTTCGAACTTCTTACAAGGGAGCAGAGCAAGTCAAGAAGGTACGTCTTCAAACTCTAAGAGGAGAATTTGAAGCATTACAAATGAAGGAAGGTGAACTTGTCCAAGATTACTTCTCAAGAGTTCTAGCGGTTACTAATAACCTAAAGAGGAATGGGGAGAAGCTAGATGAAGTAAGAATCATGGAGAAGGTTCTTAGATCGTTGGATTCAAAATTTGAGCATATTGTCACTGTCATTGAAGAGACGAAAGATTTGGAGGATATGACAATGGAGCAACTACTAGGATCACTACAAGCCTATGAAGAAAAGAAGAAGAAGAAGGAAGACCTTGCAGAACAAGTACTCAAGATGCAAATTGATCAAACCAAAGATGGAAGCGGCCGAAGTCATCCAAGAAGAGGTGGCGGTCAAGGACGAGGAAGAGGTTGTGGTTATGGAAATGGACGTGGCTGGAGGTCCTATGAAGACAAGACTAACCAAAGAAGAGAAAGCTCATCAAGAGGACGTGGGAGAGGATCTCTAAAACCAAGGTACGACAAATCAAATGTCAAATGCTATAATTGTGGGAAGTTTGGACATTATGCTTCTGAATGCAAAGCTCCAAACAACAATAGAGTTTAAGAGAAGTTCAACTATGCTGAAGAAAGAAGCCAAGAAGAAGATATGTTATTAATGGCGTACAAGAAGGATGAAAGAGATGATTTCCACAAGTGGTACCTTGACAGCAGTGCAAGCAATCACATGTGCGGGAAAAGAAGCATGTTCGTGGAGCTCGATGAATCAGTGAAAGGAGACGTGGCCTTAGGAGATGAATCAAAGATGGAGGTGAAAGGTAAAGGAAAAATTCTCATCCGAATGAAGAATGAAGATCATCAATTCATCTCCAACGTTTACTATATTCCAAGTATGAAGACCAACATCTTGAGCCTTGGACAACTCTTAGAGAAAGGTTATGATATTCGACTAAAAGATAATAGCCTTTCTATAAGAGATCAAACTAACAATCTCATCACCAAGGTGCTGATGTCAAAGAATAGAATGTTTGTTCTTAACATTCAAAATGACATCGCAAAATGTCTTAAGATGTGCTACAAGGAGGAGTCTTGGCTTTGGCATCTTCGTTATGGACATCTCAACTTTGGAGGCTTGGAGCTACTCTCTAAGAAAGAAATGGTGAGAGGATTGCCCTGCATCAATCATCCAAATCATGTGTGTGATGGGTGCCTACTTGGAAAGCAATTCAAAATGAGCTTTCCAAAGGAGTCAGAGACAAGAGCACGGAAGCCATTGGAGCTTATACATACAGATGTTTGTGGCCCAATTAAATCAAGATCACTCGGTAAGAGTAACTACTTCCTTCTCTTTATTGATGACTTTTCAAGAAAAACATGGGTTTACTTTTTGAAAGAAAAATCAGAAGTATTGAGAACTTCAAAAAGTTTAAAGCCCATGTTGAGAAGGAAAGTGGCCTTGTGATCAAAGCTATGAGATCTGATCGAGGAGGAGAGTTCATGTCCAAAGAGTTTCTGAAGTATTGTGAAGACAATGGCATTAGGAGACAATTGACGGTGCCAAGATCCCCTCAACAGAATGGAGTAGCAGAAAGGAAGAACAAAACAATTCTTGAGATGGCGAGAAGCATGCTCAAAAGTAAGAAGCTACCAAAGGAGTTTTGGGCAGAAGCAGTTGCATGTGCGGTCTATCTGTCAAACAGATCCCCAACAAGAAGTGTTTGGGAGAAAACACCACAAGAAGCTTGGAGTGGAAGAAAGCCCGGTGTTTCACATCTAAGAGTCTTTGGAAGCCTTGCCCACGCTCATGTACCTGATGAGAAACGAAGCAAGCTAGATGACAAAAGTGAGAAGTACATATTCATTGGGTACGAGGTATTTGCTCCTGTTGCTCGATTAGAAACAGTTAGACTAATCATTTCATTAGCAGCCCAAAACAGGTGGAGGATACATCAAATGGATGTCAAATCAGCCTTCCTAAATGGAGATCTTGAGGAAGAAGTCTACATTGAGCAACCACAAGGCTACATAGTTAAAGGAGAAGAAGACAAAGTCTTGAGGTTAAAGAAGGCGCTCTATGGGTTGAAACAAGCACCAAGAGCTTGGAACACTCGTATTGATAAGTATTTCAAGGAGAAAAGCTTCATCAAGTGTCCATATGAGCATGCACTATATATCAAAACACAAAACAATGATATATTGATTGCATGCTTATATGTAGATGACTTGATATTCACAGGCAACAATCCAAGTATGTTCGAAGAATTCAAGAAGGAGATGACGAAGGAGTTCGAGATGACCGATATTGGATTGATGTCTTACTACCTTGGAATTGAAGTGAAACAAGAAGACAATGGAATCGTCGTCACTCAAGAAGGTTATGCTAAAGAAGTGCTGAAGAAGTTCAAGATGGATGACTCGAATCCAGTTTGTACTCCAATGGAATGTGGAGCCAAGTTATCAAAGCATGATGAAGGAGAGAGTGTGAATCCAACACTCTTAAAAGTTTGGTTGGGAGTCTACGTTACTTAACATACACAAGGCCTGATATCTTACATGCAGTTGGAGTTGTGAGCCGATACATGGAGCATCCAACAACCACTCACTTCAAGGCAGCTAAGAGGATCCTTCGCTATATCAAAGGTACGATCGACTTTGGCTTGTATTACTCTATTTCTGATGATTACAAGCTTGTTGGATATAGCGATAGCGACTGGGGTGGAGACGTAGATGATCGGAAAAGCACAAGTGGTTTTGTGTTTTTCATTGGAGAAACAGCTTTCACATGGATGTCGAAGAAGCAACCGATTGTCACTCTTTCCACTTGTGAAGCAGAGTATGTAGCGGCTACTTCATGTGTTTGCCATGCTATTTGGTTACGAAACTTATTAAAGGAGTTGAATTTACCACAAGAAGAGCCGACGAAGATCTTTGTGGACAATAAGTCAGCAATAGCTTTGGCAAAGAATCCTGTCTTCCATGATCGAAGTAAGCACATCGACACTCGCTATCATTACATTAGAGAATGTGTTACCAAGATGGATGTGCAGTTGGAGTACGTGAAGACGGACGATCAAGTAGCTGACATCTTTACCAAGTCACTCAAGCGTGAAGCCTTTATCAAGATGAGAAGTTTGCTTGGAGTAGCAAAATCAAGTTTAAGAGGGGGTGTTGAAAGATAAGCTTGATTTTAGATCATGCTTAAATATTGGGTTAATGATCCAATAATAATTGGGCCAAAATCCAATTATGCTTAATCAAAGATTCTAGAGTTTTCTCTAGAAAAATCAACACTTCCACCTCCTTAAAATGTTCTAGAGAGTTGTAGAGAATAAATATCTAGAGATTTCTCTAGATAATTGTTGTAAAATAATCTAGATATTAAGATAGAATTCTCTAGATTTACGAATAAAATATTTTAGATATTTTGTACTTTGGAGGCTATAAATAGCTACCTCCTCTCTCATTTTGTAACTAACAAGCAAAAAGAAATAATAAGGGAAGTTAAGTGAAGTTCCTAAGTTCTCTAAATTCTAAAACTTTCTTCTTCTTAAATTTGTTTTTTTGTCTTTCAAATTCTTAAACACCTTCTCCATCACTCTTAAAAAATTTTTCTTTCCAACACTCACAGCCCAGAAAAGATGACGTAAATTACAAGCTGTGGGGAATCGTTAATTCAATGCTCGTATCGTGGATTCTCAACTCCATTGAACCGGAGTTGCGATCATCCGTCTCTTGTTCTGCCAGTGCTTACACCTTGTGGCAGAGCATTCAAAATCGGTTCTCTGTTGGGAATGTCCCACGTATTCATGAATTAAAAGCTGCAGTTGCAAGTCTCAAGCAAGAAGGAATGTCTGTTCAAGAATATTTTGGAAAATTGAAGCTCGTTTGGGATGATTTGCTTGAATACGAGCCACTGCCAGATTGTTGTTGTGGCAAGTCTGATTGTCAAGTTATCAAGTTTCTGGAAAACAAACGCGAGCAGGATTGGACTCACCAATTCTTGATGGGTCTTGACGGTGTCAGGTTTGGTACAATTCGATCAAATATTTTGTGCATCAAGCCTACACCTTCTCTTGATTCTGCTTTCTCTATGGTCATTCAAGAAGAACGACACCAAACCGTTACTCGTTCTGCTCCAAGAGCGGACATTGTTGGATTTTCTGCATACGGCGAAGTCATCGTCGCTGACGCATACAAGGTTTGGGTTTGTGAGATTTGAAATCGATTTTTTGAAAATCTCAGATTCAAGAGATGATTTGTGTTTGTGTGTGTAGGGGCTGTTGAACATAAGCAATGACGGGAAGAAGATGGAATTGCTGACGGATGAAGCGGAAGGAGTGAGATTCAAGCTCACAGATGCAGTCGCCGTTGGAGATAACGGCGTTTTGTATTTCACAGATGCTTCTTACAAATACGATCTCCATCAAAACGGCTTTGATATCTTGGAAGGCAAACCCCATGGCCGACTCTTGAGCTTTGACCCCACCACACGAACCACACGTGTCCTACTCAGAGACCTCTACTTCGCTAATGGCGTCTCTATGTCTCCCGATCAAACCCATCTCGTCTTCTGCGAAACCTCTGTGTACTCTTTTTCTCTCATCTCTATGATCATCTCACTGTGCATTGAATCATCATCTCACTGTGCATTGAATCATCATCTCACGTTGTCTTCTTCTTGGTGTGTTCCCAGAAGAAGATGCAGCAAGTATTACATCAATGAGGAGCGTGTAGAGCTATTCATTCAAGACTTACCCGGTTATCCAGACAACATCCGGTACGATGGAGATGGACATTACTGGATTGCGTTGCCTTCGGTACTATACAAATTGAAATCCTTTTTTACGATGTTTATGATGAGCTTGTATCATCTTTTTTGTGCTAACTGTTTTGCAAAACAGGGAGTAACAACGTTGTGGAAGCTCTCGATGATGTTCCCTTTCTTGAGGAAACTCACAGCCATGGCGGCTAAGTACGGCTTCGAACCCATGTTCATGGAGAATGCTGGAGTTTTGCAGGTGGATCTGGATGGGAAGCCCATCGCATGGTACCATGATCATAAAAGCTCTCACATAACCACAGGAGTCAAGATTGGGAAATATCTCTATTGTGGGAGTCTCAAGCATTCCGGCATTATGCGACTCGATCTCCTGAAATATCCTGCACTGTAGAAGATTCTTTGAACTTTTCACATTCCACTGGTAGTCTCTCACAATTTTAACCTCCATTGGTGAGATACTAAATGAATCTCTCACTAACATAATAATATCAATATAATTTACTTTAATTTTATATTTTAAGTATAGTTTATTTAAAGAACTTCTCATTAATATTTTTTTAAACCATATTTAATTATGTTTTAAATATATCAATACACTTCACAACAATATTAATGGTGCACAAAATTATAAATAATATGATGAAATGGTTAAATTCTCTTAAATAACATAACTAAACATAAAATTACACAAAATAAACTGATAACTTAAATTGCTAGAAAACATAAATAACATATATAAAAAATGATCAAAAATATAACTAACATGGTTATGTATATACATATCAAATCATATAACTTTATGTTTAGTATATCTAATTAATAATTATATATGATAAGAGAAAATGTCAAAAATATAATTTTAAGTTTTATCAAATCTCAGATTTTATTGTAGATTTATTAAGAAGTTAATAAAAACTAACTTATAAACTATTTAACTCATATTATAAATTGTAAGATATTTGATTTATCACAAAAAATAAACCACTCATGATAAAACATGTTATTGAAACAAGAATCTCTCATGGAACTCTCAAACAAGAGTCTTTCATGAGTATCTAGAGCTTTTTTTTCTTTGAGAACCGTCTTTTTATATTTTATATATATTTTTTTATCATATTTTATTGTCAAATCTGTAAAATCAGGGTTTTCCACTAAAACTATAAACCAGTGTTTTCCCGCCAAAACTATAAAATCAGTATTTTCTCTCCAAAATTACAAAACCATATTTTCCCATCAAAATCGCAAAATCATAAAATCACATTTTTTCAAATTCGTGAAACTTGATTTTCCTACCAAAACTATAAAATGGTGTTTTCCTGCCGAAACCGCAAAATCATAAAATCATATTTTTCACAAAACATCATTCTCTGTTAAAATCGTAAAAAATGAGTTTTTATGTCAAAATTATATTTTCCGTCAAAATTATTTTTCGTCGAACTATATACTTCCACAAAAACTGTTAATTTGTATTATTTTCAAAAAATATTTTGATTATAAATAAAAATAATGATTGAAAAATATATTTTTCTAGTCATTTAAAATATTGTTCGTTTGGAAATTTCCTGAAAAACTAATCATAGGTTCTTCTCTCCTCTCTATCGGAACAATAGAGTATTTTGCATCAACATTTTTTTATAAATATACAAACAAAAAACATTGCATTTGAATGCTTTATCCAAATATAAAACCTACTTTTTAAAACAAGTAATATCTAGATGCTTCATCTGAAAGTTGTATCTGAAACACCTAGAACCAATTACTATCATTTCACTGCCACACAATGCAAAAACATCGTCGACCGTCGTCCCTCGGAACGATAATGATGATATATAGGATCTTTCTCTTTCGAATATTAGTAGCATGAAACATCAAACATGGATTACAAAGCATACAAAGCATACAAGACATACCCCTACATAGAAAAAGATAAGGACTACAGAAGTACAGTTGTAACATAAGTCATACTCAACACCAATTTGAACATGCAGATGATGAATTTTTGGCTCATGGATGTTCCATGTTTTTGGAATCGACTATATACCGTTTAAATTTATTAAAGTTTCATAAGCTTTTGAATCGATTATTGGACCTTCCGTGATTTTAATTAGAGAAATAGTAACTTGATTTGATGCATTCACTCCTTTCTTCCCCGCCTGATGTTGTTGGCCCAACTAATTAACATATTGGGCCTTCTGGTAAAGCCCACGAAGTAGGACTACGACCATTGAACGGTTACGTACCACGGAGGAAGAGATTCAAAGATCCTTATCAGAGTCAACGATTGATGTCTGCGATTGCTACATCAATCAAAACGTGAATCTCTGTCTCTCTCTCTCTTTTATCTCTCATCACTCCTAAATTTGGAGTTGTTCACCATTTCCCACAAAGCCAATCCTTTCTTCTATTCAATGGCTCTATCTTTCTTCTCCCCACGTTTGCTCATCTTCTCCATCATCATCATCCCCTTCCTCGCTTCTATCGCTCTCTGCCGGCTCGACACCTTTGATCCAGCTCGACTTCCCGATGAAGCATTACTCTACTCCACTAACTCCATCCCGCCGCTTATCAACGACCGATTTCTCACCGGAGCTGAATTTATCGGCGTCGGTCTTCTAAATAGCCCCGAGGATATCGCCTATCACCGAGACTCAGGTCTCATCTATACTGGCTGTGTAGATGGATGGGTGAAACGAGTCAAGGTCCTCGAGTCAGCTAACGACTCAGTCGTAGAGGATTGGGTTAATACCGGCGGTAGACCGCTCGGTATCGCTTTCGGACTCCACGGCGAGGTCATCGTCGCAGATGCATACAAGGTTTTGGAATCAAATTTTTTGAAAATCTCAGGTTACAAAGAATCAGGAGATAATTTGTGTTTGTGTGCGTAGGGGCTGTTGAGCATAAGCAATGACGGGAAGAAGACGGAAGTGTTGACGGATGAAGCGGAAGGAGTGAGATTTATGCTCACAGATGCAGTCGCCGTTGGAGATAACGGCGTTTTGTATTTCACAGATGGTTCTTACAAATACAGTCTCCATCAATTCGCCTTTGATATCTTGGAAGGCAAACCCCATGGCCGACTCTTGAGCTTTGACCCCACCACACGAACCACACGTGTCCTCCTCAGAGACCTCTACTTCGCTAATGGCGTCTCTATGTCTCCCGATCAAACCCATCTCGTCTTCTGCGAAACCACAATGTCCTCTTTCTCTCTCTCATCTCTGTAATCTCATTATCTGTGCATTGAATCACCATCTCTCAAGTTGTCTTCTTCTTGGTGTGTTCTCAGAAGAAGATGCAGCAGGTACTACATCAACGAGGAGCGTGTGGAGGTATTCATTCAAGACTTACCCGGTTATCCAGATAACATCCGGTACGATGGAGATGGACATTACTGGATTGCATTGCCTTCGGTACCATACAAATTGAAATCCTTTTTGACCTTATGATTGAGCTTTTGGTATCATCTTTTTTTCGCTAACTGTTTTGCAAAACAGGGAGTAACAACGTTGTGGAAGCTCTCGATGAAGTTCCCTTTCTTGAGGAAACTCACAGGCATTGCGGCTAAGTACGGCTTCGAACCCATGTTCATGATGGAGAATGCTGGAGTTTTACAGGTGGATTTGGATGGGAAGCCCATCGCACTGTACCATGATCATAAAAGCTCTCACATAACCACAGGAGTCAAGATTGGAGAATATCTCTATTGTGGTAGCCTCTTGCACTCACGCATTATGAGACTCAATCTCCTGAAATATCCTGCACAGTAGAAGAGGCTTTGAAGTTTTTACTTTGACTATCATTTCATTGCCACACATTGTAAACCCATTGACCTTGAGAACGATGATGATGAGAGGATCTTTCTCTCTCGAATAATAGTAGCATGAAACATGGAATACAAAGCATACAAGATGTCTGTGTAAGACTTAGCCCATTCATAACCAGTGAAGAAAAGGTTCGCTCATGCTGGAGCGATCATCCCCACTTAATGATCGGTTTGCTAATATATAATTCAAGCGAATATATAAATGTATCAAATTTCACTTACTAACATGCTAAGTCTAATATCAACATTTTACCCAAACACATTATTAAAATTTACCAAAATATTCGATATTACTAAAATAAATACATTATACCAATTAATATTTTTACTTTCAATCAGCTAAAACAATTTAAACCAAGTGTTCATATAAATAAGTTTAAATTGTTGAAAGTAAAAAATATTAAATGGTATATAATGTAGTATTTATTTTAGTTGTTGATGTATCAATAATTAAATATCGTATATTTTGGTAAATTTAAACACACAAATGATAAAAGGTTCAAGTTATAAATCTAAATTTAAACAAGCGAATATATAAATGTATCAAATTTCACTTACTAACATGCTAAGTCTAATATCAACATTTTACCCAAACACATTATCAAAATTTACCAAAATATTCGATATTACTAAAATAAATACATTATACCAACTAATATTTTTACTTTCAATCAGCTAAAACAATTTAAACCAAGTGTTCATATAAATAAGCTTAAATTGTTGAAAGTAAAAAATATTAAATGGTATATAATGTAGTATTTATTTTAGTTGTTGATGTATCAATAATTAAATATCGTATATTTTTGTAAATTTAAACACACAAATGATAAAAGGTTCAAGTTATAAATCCAAATTTAAACAAGCGAATATATAAATGTATCAAATTTCACTTACTAACATGCTAAGTCTAATATCAACATTTTATCCAAACACATTATCAAAATTTACCAAAATATTCGATATTACTAAAATAAATACATTATACCAACTAATATTTTTACTTTCAATCAGCTAAAACAATTTAAACCAAGTGTTCATATAAATAAGCTTAAATTGTTGAAAGTAAAAAATATTAAATGGTATATAATGTAGTATTTATTTTAGTTATTGATGTATCAATAATTAAATATCGTATATTTTTTTTAAATTTAAACACACAAATGATAAAAGGTTCAAGTTATAAATCTAAATTTAAACAAGCGAATATATAAATGTATCAAATTTCACTTACTAACATGCTAAGTCTAATATCAACATTTTACCCAAACACATTATCAAAATTTACCAAAATATCGATATTACTAAAATAAATACATTATACCAACTAATATTTTTACTTTCAATCAGCTAAAACAATTTAAACCAAGTGTTCATATAAATAATCTTAAATTGTTGAAAGTAAAAAATATTAAATGGTATATAATGTAGTATTTATTTTAGTTGTTGATGTATCAATAATTAAATATCGTATATTTTGGTAAATTTAAACACACAAATGATAAAAGGTTCAAGTTATAAATCCAAATTTAAACAAGCGAATATATAAATGTATCAAATTTTACTTACTAACATGCTAAGTCTAATATCAACATTTTACCCAAACACATTATCAAAATTTACCAAAATATTCGATATTACTAAAATAAATACATTATACCAACTAATATTTTTACTTTCAATCAGCTAAAACAATTTAAACCAAGTGTTCATATAAATAAGCTTAAATTGTTGAAAGTAAAAAATATTAAATGGTATATAATGTAGTATTTATTTTAGTTGTTGATGTATCAATAATTAAATATCGTATATTTTTATAAATTTAAACACACAAATGATAAAAGGTTCAAGTTATAAATCTAAA